GGAAGACGGTAAATCGGAAGGGGGAAATTGAGTTATTCGAACGACCGATTTCGATATTTCGTTCGGCGCCGACTCCGAATATTTTCGTTTGAATTGCCCATAGGTAAGGCGGGTAGGAACGAAATTTAAAAAAAAAAAAAAAAAATAGTAAAAATTACGATAACATTTTAAAGTATAACGGGTCACGCGAGTACCCGATGTCCACCCCGTACAACACAGACTCAATTAGTATCGAACGATTCGGAGGAATTCCGTTTACGATACACCCTGTATTACAAGCCCGCCCGTATACCCGTGCGCAATGACGTCGTCGCCGCCGCCAAATGTTCTACACGGATACTTTCACTGTTCGGAATATTTTTCGTACGCACTTCATATGATATTGCGCGCAGACGCGTAGTCGACGAAGACCTACGCACAGGTGCATTACTTCGAGCGGGTTTGAATGTGAACGGTTTTTTTTTTTTTTTTTAGAGTACACGGGTTACGTTAGCGTCGCGATCGCGGTGTTTGTGTTTGAACCGCGATTTAGGATATCATTATATTATAACGGTTACCGGACGTACGTAGGTATACGGTGATAATCATAAAAGAACGTTATACCCGGAATCTACTGTCTCAGTCCAACTACCGGGTAACGTGCAAAAGCTATGCTTACGCAGAATAAGTAAAACTAACTTAATTTTCATTTTAAAAATAAAAATATCTATTCTCGTGAAATGTACAGAGAACATTACTTTGTCATAGGACTTTGGTAGTATTCAAAATGTACAGAGCTCGATGTAATAGATACAAAAACTTTTTTTAATAGTTCATAATTAAAAAAACACTTGTGACATTACCTCCAAAAATATTGTTCTCTATAAATTCCATAATATTGGTACTTTTATTGTAAAATCAAAATTCAGCTAGTGTTCCTTATTCCGCGTAAGCATTGTTTTTGCATTGTACCCGGCAGTTGGACCGAGACAGTAGACGCGGGTTTAACGTCCTCGTAATAAGAAGACCGGCTCGTCAACCGTCGCACCGTATTTATCGTTATCTGCTGATTTTTTTGTCTTTGCACGCGCGGCTTATTGAGAACGGATCGGGGTAACGACGAAAAGAATATCGAGAAGTTTAAAGCGGCGATGGCCGCCGCCGATAGCGATATAGACGAAATGTGGTGCGAAGTGAGTGGCGGCTGCTACGAGGGGCCTATGTAGACGGTAGACAAAAAACGAATTTGCCTACTTCGAAAAACGAGCAAAACAATCGATTTCACATAAATCTACTTGTGTATGCACCGTCGATTTTTCTGAGTTATTCCCCGCGAAACACTGTCGGGAAATTCAAAACTCACCACGCCGAAAGTGCGAAAATCTTCGATACGGTTTATTTTTTCGTTTTACCGCGCGATATTTCGCGCCCGGTCAACAAAAAAAAAAAAACAAAAGACAAAAACAACGATTTTATTAATATGGCGCAGACTTGCCACAGCTGTGATAACAGAAAAACAAAATTCCGCGGAAGAAACGCGGTTTTCATTTTTCTCCGGTTATTGTTTATAATAGTTTCCATTCACCTCCCACGCGAATGAAAGTGGCCGAACCCGCGCCAGACGAGAGCGATAATTGAATTGTTTGAGGTCGTGTTCAGTGATAATCATTGGGTTGAGGGGGGGGGGGAATAACTGACCCCGTATCCTGTGACTTTAGACCGAGGGATATTTCAGCTCGCACTTCGCGAAATGGAAAGAAAAAAAAATTTGAATAAGCACGGACGAACTTTTTTTTTAAAAAAAAAATAATGTACGGGAGGCGACCCAAGGGATTGACGGGAGGCGATCGAGAGTGTGTGCTCGCCGCAGTTGTCGGTCGCCATCACCGTTAGGTACACGCACGCCTAATAGAATAATAATACGTAAATCGACGTGCGGAAAAAAAAATCACGTTCCCGAGTCGTGCGGCAACGTGTGCGGCGGCTGACGCGAAATTACAGAAAACTCTGCGCGCGCGATATGAATTTCCGGCTTATTATCATTACTGCGGGCGTTATATTTTTTTAGACCGAAAATGCGGCAAAACTTTGTTCGCCACACCGCACTCGGACGGGGCGAACATTATTACACCTATACGGCTTTTGCCTATTACACACTTTTGCCGAGTTGCGCGGGGTCGCGAAAACAGCGTCGATTCCGCACGCGTGCACGCGACACCCCGTCGAGAGATATGAGAAAAGTTTCTTATATTATTATTATTATTATTTTTTTTTTTTTTTTTTTTTTTTTTTTGTTCGACAAGAGCCATAAAAGGCCCTTCGTATTATCCCCCGAAAACTTTATTCTCGTCGCCGCCCGAGTGTCCGACGACAGTTTAATACTAACGCGGCGGCGCCGCGCGGTCAAATAGAGCCGTATAATCGTAGAAATCCAATAACTCCGGTGATTTCGAAATCTATTTGCTGTCGTCCGGCCATTTGCACCCCAGAGTGTCGCAATACACTGCGGCGAAGTTTGGTCGGCGAAAATAACCGTGATGTAATGTACACAATAATACCTCCGAAATTCCCGAACGCAGCGAAAAATCAACGATATTTTACCAGGACCCATTTTTCTTTTCGCTCGGAAAAAAACGCTTTTTTGGCGAATTAAATACGCTCGGAATCGTTTACATGCAGTACCGCCCGTACGAAAGACGCTTGGCCCGGCGGCACCACACCCCAAACGTTTTTCCAGATTCCCGGACTGTAGTTGTCCAAAAAATACCAAAATAAATTCACTTTTACGGTTTTACGGCCATGCGTCTGTAAACGACTTTTCACCAGAAATCTTGCAGATCGAATCAAAAACTTTATCGTAGAATTTTTGATTATTCTTAGTAAACGGGAACAACCGACTTTTTTTAAAAAAATAACAATTATTGATTTCTTTGTTACAATAAAACTTAATTTTACACGTCCCCGCAGTCCCTCCGAACGAAGCCAGGAAGATTAGATTTTGTATGTCCACGGTGTAAGTGTCGAGGACGCGCACTTTGGCGGTTTCGACTTTCAATCCCTTTCCCAAAACGATTGCACGCTCAAATTTCACGTTGGCGCAGGAAACACGGGGCTTTTAGACACACTCCTACGTATACACTGAAGTGAATAAAACCCTGGCGACTGTGATTATTATTTTAGATCGATTACAAAACGATAGGGTAAAATATTTTAACAGCGGCGAGTCGACCGGGCGAAAATCTCTATAGTGCAAGGGCGGAGTGGAAACAGGGAGATTAAAATTTAATCAGGCCACCCGATAAAACGCTATCTAGGTACCAAAGAAAATTTGACTCGCGTTTTAGTTTTAGTCGAGGAGAGCTATAAATACGTTTTCACTTGAAACGCGGACGATGACAAGATGGGGTGGTGGAGTTTCGACCCTCCAGTAATGTAAAAACGGGAATTCGTCGATACGCATTTTAATTTCGTAGTTCAAACGAAAATGTGTAAAAAAAAAAAAAAAAAAAATCTTAATATTGGTACCGAAACAAGAATGTATAATAAAATGTGTCTTGGCATAACTTTTTACCGAGTCGTTAAATATGATACATACAAGGGATTGTAATATTATTTACGCGTATCGGGCCACCAGGCCATCGTCTGGAAAATTCCCAATTTCAAAACGAAAACGTCCGACCGTCGTTTCCGCGGCCGGCACACCACTGCCCCTCTCGCGCCGCACGCGTACGGCGTTTCCGACTCCGAGCGCGGTCCGTGGGAAATACGCGGCGCAAACGGGTAAACGGGCTTACGTACGTTCGGCGGGTAGGGACCGGAAAAGCCGCTCGCTATTTATTCGGCGCGAACGCCGCCGAGAACGGTTCAAACGATCGACCGCCGCTCGTAAATGGACGCCACCGAGTTCGCGGACGAAACGCGCGCGAACCGTTCGCGGTCAACGAGTGAAGACGACCGGCGCGGGCCGTTGCAGACGTTCGGTCGCGCCGACGCCGAACACACTCGGGGGTCGCTGGGTCGCGAATCGCCCCGTGTGCGGTTCCGAAGTTCCGAGTGTCACGATTCGCCGCGTCGGCGAAAACGTTACCCCGGGGACATTCCGTGACCGGGGGCGCAAGCGACGCGCACACGCTCGCGCCACGCGAGTACGTCGCCACCGTCGCTGCGCAACGGGGGCCTCGGCCGCCGCGTTTCCGGAAGCGTACGTCCGTTGCCGGCCGTTAACGGTTATTTCGATTTTTTTTTTTGAAAAATAAAAACGCAGCGGAAAAAGCCGTTATTCACGAACGGTCAACAATTGACCGTTGCATTCGGAGACGGCGGAAAAAACGCGACGGCTCGCCCCCGTCCTCTTTTGATTTCGCGATACGCGTTTTTGGCGCTTTTACTCTAGAAACCAAAATTACCGGCGACAAATTGCGTGCGTCCTTTTAACCGTACGTTTATTAGGTACACGTGATAAGCGCGATAAATACACCGAAAACGTTTAACGGGCTTAGGAAAAGTGACGGATCGGTTTTTTTCAGTGAAGAAAATTCGCCGAAATCCGTTCGTTCAACGACCCGAGCAGTTTTCATTCCAATTATGTTTAGTTTTAGAGTTTCGCGCGGTGGAAAAACGGCAAGGTTTAAAAACAACGACAAAAAAAAAAACAACTACAGTATTTCCGACGAGCGTTTTTGTATTACCCCCCCCCCACCCCTCCCTCGACTTACGTCCATATCAATTTCGGACGTTTCGCAGCCGTGGGCGGAAATGGCGCGACCGAAAGTTATAGTCCCGGGCGTCGGTACGAAACATAAAAAAAAAAAAACCCACCGAAACGGAAAAACGTGAAATAAACGACGACGGGGAAGAGGGAAAACGGCTCGGGAGAGAGGTCGTCGTCACCGCCGGCCGTAACACGAACCGGTGTCCGCCCGTCCGTCCGCCGCCGCCGCCGCCCCCCCCCCCCCNCCCCCGTCTATCCCCGCTGGAAAAGCGAGGAGTCGACTTTGACTCGGCGGTGTCGTGTTTCAACTTTACGCGCGTTTGGCGCTTGCCCAGCGCGCGGCGGCGGCGACGGCGGAGGCCCCGTTCGGAATTCCGTAGCCGACGACGGCCGAACCGGCGCGACCGCGGGCGAACGGCGGACCTCCCGGACGGCCGCCCGGCGCAACCTTGAACCTGGCCGCCGAGCGCGCGAGCGTTCCGACCACGAAATCCGGTCCGGCACCGTGCGCGCACGCCCGCTGCCGCCGCCGACCTCGGTAGGCCCGAAAACCCGCGGGCGGTAACACCGCTACCATTTCCACGCGGCGATCCACGACGGAGAGCGCGCGTACTGTTGTCCGTCGGCCGCGGCTCGCGCGCTCACTGCCGAAGTCGACCGGATTTCGGCACTCCCGAGGTGCGCGGCCCGCCGACGGCGACACTTCCCCGGGACGTTCGTCGCCCGGCCCCGGGGAACGGCGCGCGAAACCGACGACGGGCCCCGAGTCCCGCCGCTGAGCGTTTTACTCGACCGGGCCGCCGCCCGGTTCGCGGGGAGTCTCTCGCACGAGCGAAATATTTACCCGCCCGAAATCCGGTGCCACACGACACGCGTACAACTTTTCGCGCCGGAAATCTCGCTGCGACTTTCAAAGCGCGGCACGCTTTTTCCGAGGGTAAATTTTACCCGGGCGGTACTTTAGGGAGGCCGCCTTCTGACCACCGAAATAATCCCGAGTAAAACGTATAGGAAAAACGGGAAAATTCCGTACGTAAAACAAAAGTTCGTTCCGTATCGTTTTACGTTACCAAAACACGTTATTGTTAAATGCTTACCTTTGACATAAAAAAACACCAACGAGTCTTCATTGATTTGTCGAGTTGTAATATTCACGTAGAAACGTCAGGGCCGACCACCGATGCGTTTCAAAAGACGTGTATACAAACATTTGGGAAATAAAAGACACGCTTTTTCATATACAATTTTTTTTTTTACTGTTTACGTGTTATCTTGGCCGATACACTTACCCGAAAAAGATATTGTCCGGGTGCAGACGGTCGTAATACCGATACCCGGGATCCGGTGTTGGAAATCCGAAAACCGCGAGGTAGCCGTTTAAAAAGTTGACCCGTTGAAAATCCGATTTCTCGGGGTTTTTTCACGGAAATATCGATTTCGGTACGGAAAACCGGATCTACTCGACAACACTCTGCGTGCCGCACACCGGTCTCGCAAAACTCGCTGCGCAATTGTCGCGAGTGTTGAAAAAAGTCGACGGGAAAATTTATCGTCTTCCCTCCCGACACTTCCATTCCACTCCCCGACCAAACGCACTCCGACACGTCGATAATTTACGTTGCCGGCGATAATATCGCGGACACCGATCGAAAAATTCACAATCACCCGGCGCGTGTCCGGACGATCGGACAGGTCCGCGAGTTCGTCGATCGAGATTCCGGGGTGAGAGTTTTGGAGGGGGCGATATGTATCGTGTAAATCGCCCGCCTCCACGCGGTCACGCCGCCGACGTTGTGAATCTGGTAGCGATTACGGTACAAGAGGAACGGAGAGGAACGACGACGAGTCGTCGAATAAAACAAAAAACAATAACGAATTAAAAAATAAAAACAAAAGTACTTTATTTGCTACGCGCCAAATTTTTTTTTTATTATTTTTTTTTTTTTCTTATCGTCCATTTCAGCTTTACATAATTATAATTTTTTTTTTTTTTTCAAATTTGTTTCCATTTTCTTTCTCTTAATATATATGTTTATAGTATATTCCAACGTAACAAAAAGAGAAAAAAAAAATCAAAAACAAATCGCCGAGAAAGCAAGTCTTTTCGCGATTTTTTCCATTTTTTTTTTTTTTTTTTTTTTTTTT